GCTTTTCCAGCAACTTTGTTCTTGTCCTTGATTTACAGCATCTGCAGTTCATTTGGTTTTTATTTAGGAGAAAGGAGTATCTGGTGTAAAATCACCTACATGAGACTTTCCAGCTTTTTAAATTCTTATTTAAAAAGGCGATGCTAAAGGTAGTTAGCAAAAAATTGGTCAATAGAGATAGACTAAGATGAGTTTGAAATGGGAAAAAAAAAAGAGGGAGAGAGAGGGGAGACTTTCCCAAATTTTTTCCAAGATTGTGCTTTCGCCTGCTGGCACCTGACAGTGAGAGAAGAAACCCTTCTATCTCAGTCACTCAAGTACTGCTGCTGAGAGGTCATTACCATTACACTGTAGGACATAGTCACCAAATGGAACATTGCCATCACCAATTGGTATGAGTTGGTCAAGGCAAAGACAACTAGGAATCTAGGGAGACCAATACCAATACAGGTGTCAATATGCAGGGACAGCTGAGGACTAGCATGGCTAATGGGGTGTTATCCTTTATAATATTCTATTGAAGGGTCAGTAGACTCATGGTTTCCTCTCCATACATGCTGACAGACCTGCTGAGTTTCTCCAGCAATTTCTGCTTTTGTTTCAGATAAACCACATCCACAATTCTTTTTGTTTTATAGAGTGAATGAATGTTATGCTTCAGTTGTAGTGTGGAGGTGATTCATTAGTTTGATAAAGGTGCAGATTACAGTGTGGACAACTGGATGGACTGACTGTCAGAAATTGCTTAAAAAGAGACTCAACAGGTCCGACAGCAGCTGTAGAGGGAAAGTGGAATTTCATATTCTGAATCCCGTGACTGTTCTTCCACTGGAAGTTTGAAAAGTGAGGGGCCCTGAACAATCTCACCAGGGTCGATGTGTAAAGCATGTTTAATCTGGTTGAACATTGGGGAACTGTTTTAAAACTTTCAGGACAGAAATTGAGATTTTCTTCACGCCTGTGATTGACTTCCAAAGTTGTCCAGTCTCAGAAGGTAGTGGCAGTAGGACCATAGATTGTTATTAGACAGCAGAATCATTGGTTAGAGGTAGATGGGAAAATATAGAATTCAAAACAACCAGATCAGCCATGGCTTTAAAGGGTCAAGACAACCGGAGGCCAAACAACTGACTTCTGCTCCTGTTTAGTGTTTGTTTCATTCCAGGACAAGAACAGGAATAACATGACATGGAAAGAAGTACAACATCAAAGCAGGTTAAAACTTCAATGTTTGCTTGGAGCCATGAATGTTTAACTTAAGATGGATTGTCAATGGTGGGATGGGGGTAGAGGAAGAAGGCAATGACCTAGTGGTATTATTGCTGGACTGTTAATCCAGCAAACAAGATAACGTTCCAGGGACCTGGATTCAAATGCCACAGAATTCTATTAAAAACAAATCTGCAATTCAAGTCTAACATTGACTGTAAAGAGTCAGGAAAAACCCATTTGGTTCACTAATGCCCTTCAGGGAAGGAAACTGCCATCCTTACCCATTCTGGCCTACATGTGACACCAGACCCAATGTGGTTAACTCTGAACTGTCTTCTTGATGATGGGCAATAAATGCTGCCTAGCTAGTGATGGAAAGGAAAACAAAGACATTCTGGATGACTCATTGCTAGGTATGGAAGGTTTGAATTGTAAAGAAAGGGTGGGACCTTTTTCACCAGCATATAGGAGGTTGAGGGGTGACTGTATGGAGGTTTATAAAACAATGAAGGGTACAGATATGGAAAGACAACTACCATTAACCCTAGGATAGGGGATTTCAAGAACCAGGGGGCACATTTAAAAAAAAAAGACAATTTGAGGAAAAAAAAAGGACATGGAGGAAATTTTCTTTTGAAAATAGAGGGTGGTTTGCATGTGGCATGAACTTTGAGGAAGGGATGGTTGTGGGCACAATTACAACATTTAAACAGGTACACAGAAAGGAAGTGTCTGTGGTGGGGGTAGGGAAGTGTGGACATGGGCCAAGAGTAGGCAGGTGGGACTAGTTTAGGTTGGGGATTATGTTTGGCATGGACTGCTTGGATCACAGTGTCTATTTCTGTGCTGCATGACTCCAGAGCCATAAAGGAAAAAAAAAGGCCAAAACACAAGACTCCAAGATTGCTAGCCTTAAAGACCATAAGGCATAGAAGCAGAAACCAATTGAGCTACTCTGCCATTCAATAAGATCATGGCTGGTTTGATAATCAACTTGCTTTGGTTCTTCTAAATTACCCTCAATTCTGATCGATTAAAGGCCAAGAGAATTTTCATTCCTAACAATTCAAACTAGACAACCCTCAATGGTAATTTTTCCCCAACACACTCAGCATGGTACAATCGTTACAGATGCCAGTCAGCACAGCTCCTAGTCTCCAAATAAAAAGCACACAAACAAACACCAGCCCCACACGTATTGGAGCACAAGAGCTGCTAAATGGAGAAGACTAGAGGATCTTCCCAGCAGGGCCACTTTCAGCTGTAGCTCCCTCAAAATGTATGGCAATTGCTAGCTGGGAATCAGCAAACATTGACCAGACCCTGAAGTGGACCAACTATACCAATACAACATTTAAGCAAATGTCAGATGTTTGTGTGGGGAAGCTTTAGTTGCAGGCAATTGCTGCCTACAATGTCTGTCCAATATCTACATAGACAGTAAGGATGAGGGCAGCTCAATGCCATTCTGGACCTAGTATTACCACTACAACCATGTGCCATCTGCACATCTGACAATAATCAAATCAGATTAGTGAAAGTAATGTTTTGTGTGCTATGCGAGTATATCATACCACACAAAAAGTAGATCAGGGTAAAAAAGTGTTACAGCTGCAGAGAAAAGAAAGAGAAACTTCAATATTGGAGAGGTCTGTTCAAACAACTAACAGCAGGGAGAAATCTGTTCTTGGATCTGTTGCCATCTATTTCCAAGCTTTTTTTGGAATGCATCCTCAAATAACTCAAACTCATTCAGTGGCACCTTTCAAACCAGCCCCCTACAAGGATAAAGGGTGGTAGCTATATGGAAAGCCCACCAACTGCAAGCTGCTTACTAGCCCTCTCACCACCCAGAGATGGAAAGGTACCACTCATCCTACACAACTCCATTGCTGACACTCCAGGAGTTACAGACATTCAAGGCAGCTCAACCAACAGAAAAAAAAATTCAGAACTGGCCATAAATGCTGGCTGAGCCAGTAACGCCTGAAAAATAAAGCTCTCTTGTGGCTGGAGAGTTGCCCACTACTGCAGCAGGTTTTATAGATCAGTAATTTTCTCAACAAGAGAGAGAGAAAATTAGATGAAACATGGAAGGAAATCAAAGACTAGAATGGATGAAATTACCATGATGCACATGTGCCAGCACAGAGCAACTGGGCCAAATGGCCAGGGATACTCTAGTTACCTACAGCCTGGAATTCTAAAGTCTACATTGTTGCAGATAACAAGGCGGCTGCTCTCAGGTGACAGAGTTTAACCTGAGGGATACCATGCTGCAGGCAAAGGGAGAGCTTCAGGAGGACCCACCTTCACAGCAACTTCAGCTGGTAGACAATAATTGCTGGGTCATTAACACAGCACAGTATTAATCTGACTGGCAGATAATGCCTTTATTACATGGTAAATTAAATAGTTCTTGCATTGACAGTTGCTCATTTAAAAACAAGTTGGACAGAGACCAAGCAGCAACAAGGTCTCAGCATTTAGGTGAATGCAGCACCGTTGGTCTCCCTGATCCAAAAGCCTGGTCCACAGTCATGTCACCATTTGCAATTTCCAGCAAGAGTTTCTCCACCTAGGGATGTACAATATGAATGAGAGATTTAGAAAGAAAAAAAAAGTATCAAGCAAAAAGTTCACTTCACCCCTATAGCAAAAGTTTCCACTGCCCCCTCCTGTCAATCTTACCAAAGGTGCTGCAGATTTCCAGTTAGCATTGCAAACCAAAATTATCTTAAACATCTAGCAACAGGATGTGGCTACTGGCTTTCAGGAGCTAAAATTCCTGGGAAATTAATAGCCAAATGCTAACTGGAGATTGTTAGAGGAATGACTTTACCCTGTTTATAACCATTCTGATATTTAATCTAGGAGATGAGACTTCAGGGAAATCATTGACACATGGCAATCCATATTCCAGTTGCCAACATTTGAACTGAGTTGTAGTATTTAATGTTCCCAGGAGCATTAAACTGTCCTTGCTGCTGGTTTCAGATTTAATTTTGTTACAGATTTTAATTTTGTTTTTGCTTGGTGGTCACCTTTGTTGCGTAGCCCTTATCTTCCTGAGGAGAGTATCGGCCAAATGTTTTGCGATTTGATCTGGAACTACAAACATAAGAGGGGAAGAGTTAACTTGTGTAGCATGCTCCCCAGAAACCAATCACCTTCATTAGGCAGCTACATCCCATAACCACTGAACCAAAGGCAGGTATGTAGAGTTGCTTCTCAGATACCTTATCTAACAGTGGATCAAACTCAAGGCTCTGCTCTGTTTCAGTGTTCAAACAATCACCACAGCTCCCATAGCAGCACTAGGGTTGTGTAAGATCACTTGTATACATGAAAATCTAATCTAAATCCCTAACAAAGACCATGTTCAAAGGGGATGGGAGTTTAGAAAGTCCCAACAAAAAGGGAGATCATAATTACATGACTAATTGTGCAGATAACACGAGGCATCAGTAGGGTAGTTTTAGCCAAATTGTTCCTGGATTAGTGAATATGCAAGCACAAGTTAAAGGGCATTGATCCTTCCCACTGTGGCCAAGCAGCAGAAAATGCTCAATCAGTAAACCCACAGCAATGTGGAAGCTCTTTCAGAGAAAAAAAAAATTGAAATTGGACTCCTTTAAAAGGGACATCTTTATTCCCTGCATAGCAAATTAAATAAATTGTGGGGTGTGGTGTTGGCAAGTGCTGCAGAAGTAGCATTTAGTTTTGGCAAGATGAGCAAGCCAGTAGCATGATGCTTTTGATCAATACCATGGGTTAGTGTTTTTGCTGTGTGAAATGAGCCAAGTTACAAAGCAGACATTAGTGAGCCAAGTGATTTGTGTGGGCAGCTGACTAACCACAAGACCATGTTATAATTCTTGGATCACATGCACCTACCATGTACACACACGGCCTGTGATCATTTAATTTAGAATTTACAGAAGTTTAATTTGGAATGGCAGCATTGAAACAATGGCTAAGCTACTGCGTTTTGGAATGGGACCATCATCCACCTAGCAGTCAGTCGAAAGAAGAACCAAAGAGTTTTCACTGGTCAGATTTACAGAGGATCATGTCACAGTCCATCTCCCAAAGCAGTGTTGTTTAAAAAAAAAGGTGTCTTTTTGACCAGTTAGCTGGATGGCTGTTTTGCCAAGGAGAGTGACAATAACAGCTTGGTTTTAAATTCCCACACTGGCTGAGGTTACCATTAAAAAAGTCTTCTTCTCAACCTCTCCCCTTGCCCAGTGTGGGGGAGCGCCTCTGGTTAAAGCAACAGTCTTCTGATTCTTTGGGCACATTAGGGAAAAGAGAAACATTGAGTGTTTACTGGAAACCTCCATGCTGTTTACCTGCATGATAGTCAATTACTTTATATAAAACAGTCAGTGACAACATTCCCATGGCTCATTGCTGACTGGCAGAAAGTGGCACCTCCCTTATTATAAAAGGGTCATAAAATATTAGGCAAAGGATCAAACTTACCTGCTATTGGAAGAAAAGTAACAACCTGCAAAAATCAAAAAAAAACGTGAGATTCAGACAACTCAGCTGGCTAGATTTCTTCTGTAGAGTGAGTTATTCCCTTGTCATACTGCTCACCAAAAATAATCGAAGGGAGAAATTGGGCTGATTCAGTAGCAGGATCTAACCTAGAGTATGGGTCAGCCTAAATTCTGACTGCACACAAGATGAAAAAGTCAAATTTCTGAAGAAGCATCCCAACCAGAACTATCAACTTTCTTGCTCTTGATGTTGTGTGTCCTGCTGTGTTATCTCAAATTCATTACTTGTACCAAAACCATTAGAGTTTGCAATTCTTGTTTGGAGGAACCAGACTATGGCATTTCCCACATTGCAGTGAAGTATGGAACACTAGTATAGCCCAAGGTGGTGAAAGGCATTAGCCTGTAGTTTGACACTGGCCAGACAGAGTTATTTCTGTCTGGATAAGAGTCAGATGTGGAGAGCCTGTGAAATTCCCCTTGTGCTACGGAGGGAAATGGTCTGGAAACAAATTCTGCTGAGTAATTCCTCAGTGCCTGGTGTCCCCCAGAGTCTCCAGTCAAATCCTAGACCAGAAGTTTACACAGAAATTAAGTAAAAACACAGGAGAAGAGTTAGATTGTGTTTATATTGTCAGCCTGACTTCCGAGTAACTGTTCAGCTGACACATCACAGAAGCATCCCTGCCAAAAGTTAGGTAGTGCAAACACTGAGCAGCCACACAGCCTAGAGGTAACACTGCTCCAACAGTTTCCCCAACCTACTTATAACCAGCTCCCTTGCCAAATCAGATTTCCCTCCCACCATACCTTACCATCTATCTGGCACACTTCTTCTGTACTTACCCTTTGGCATCAACTGTCAGGACCTTTAGGTGTTACAGGGCAGTAGGGGGCGGGGGAAGATGATTTTGCCTCCCTGGCTGCTCTGGGCTCTGTTTGAACTGCAGAATGGGACTACAGCTCTGCATCGGAGGTGATTCCGCTCCAGGTTCCCTCAGATGCGGATCCCTCCTTTCAAACAAGGGAGGGAACGACCAGATTTTCACTCTGGAGAATCTGGCTGCAGCACAAGCAGGAAGAACACCATTTTCCTGCTAGGGGACACTGCAGCCTTTTGGACTCTATCAAGTTCAATAATTTTATGCTTGAAGCTCTCCCATGTCGTTACCCCAACTCCCACATAGTAAGCCTTATTACACAGTCTGCCATTACACTCAATCCAATGTTAGACAACAAAAGTCTCCATTAATAGCCATTCACCCTCCCAGCCAGTTTGTTATCCACTCCTTTGTCTGTCCCCACCCATCATTTACACCTTAACCCTGCATGCACCGCCCCCCCCCCCCCCCCCCCCCCCCCCCCCCACCCCGCCCTCGCCCCG